TGGCCAGGCCGGGCTCGAACTCCTGACCTCAGGTGATCTGCCCACCTCAGCCTCCCAAAGTGCTGGGATTGCAGGCATGAGCCACCACGCCCAGCCTCTTTTTTCCTATTTTTAAAATTTATTTATTTATTTTTTTTACTTTTAAGCTTTTTAGTTAAAAACCAGACACACATGAGCCTAGGCCTACCCAGGGTCAGAGCCATCAGTATGACCATCTTAACTGCCACATCCTGTCCCACTGGAAGGTCTTCAGAGGCAATGCATGCTTGGAGCTGTCACCTCCTATGATGACAGTGCCTTCTTCTGTAGTGCCTCCTGAAGGATCTGCTGAGTCTGTTTACAGTTAACTTTTTTTCTAATAAGTAAAAAGAGTACATTCTTATTAACATTTAAAAACACAGTGTAGTAAATACGTAAACCAGTAACATAGGTTTTTATTATTATTATCAAGTATTATGTCCTATACATTATTGTATGTGCTATACTTTTGTTTTGTTTTGATGGAGGAGTTTCGCTCTTGTTGCCCAGGCTGGAGTGCAATGGTGAGATCTTGGCTCACCGCAACCTCCACTTCCCGAGTTCAAGCGATTTTCCTGCCTCAGCCTCCCGAGTAGCTGGGATTACAGGCATGCGCCACCACGCCTGGCTAATTTTGAATTTTTAATAGAGTCAGGGGTTTTCCATGTTGGTCAGGCTGGTCTTGAACTCCTGACCTCAGGAGATCCGCCCGCCTCAGCCTCCCAAATTGCTAGGATTACAGGCGTGCACCACCGCAACTTGCTGTGCTGTGCTTTTATATGACTGGTAGCACAGTAGGTTTGTTTATACCGACCTTACAATGGGTATGACGTCACTATGTTGTCTGAAACGCTGTTATGTGGCACATGGCCGAGTAATAGTCAGGGTTGGTGTCTCCCATCAAAACTCTTTTGGAAGAGCAAATTCCAAATACAGGACCATCATTCAGATGATGGGCCCTGGGGAGAAGGGAGGCCCAAAATTAATATCTTGAAAAAGGGTAAGTTGAAGTAATGACTGAGTTTACCCAGAAATTTTCAAGATTACACATTGTAATCTTGAAAGGGAGATTTGAAAACTAGGTGCTTACACAAAACATACTATTAGAGAAAAATGAAGATGCTTTGGACACCTGAGTTTGTAGCTATGAAGTTCATACTCACCCCAGAGATAATGCAAGAAATGAACGAAATTAACCAATAAAAAGTTGCTGGCTTACTGCTTGAACACTGTGGGCACTCACTCCATAAGTGTGGGACAAGGGTGCTGGCTAAAGTCCCTCCAGTCCCCTCCCTCCTGTCCCTGTCCTCCCCACCTCCCCCTGCCTCCCATCCTCCACCCCAACCCCATGATCTCACTGCCGCCAGTCTTCCCCTTCCCATCAATCCTCGTTAGGCACAGAGCCCTGGCTCCTGCAGGGCAAGGCCCGACATGGCTTCCAGTGACAGGGCCCTTTGTCTCACAGGTGGGAGGCTGGCATTCGACCTTCATAGGCTCCCACGTCTCTGCCTCTGTGCTCTGGCAGCTGGAGTGGGTGCAGCATGCAGCAAGGATAAGGAGGTGCCATGGTAGGCAGCTGTGACTGCACCCCACTCAATCCTTGCTGCCCCAGGCCCTAGACTCAAGGTCTCCCTTCCAGCCCCTGCAGGGAACTGGGCCCCTGGAGGATCATAGGCTGCCCCGCGCCCACTGGCCCTCAGAGGGTGAACTTCCCTTTTTCTGTTGTATTGTGCCCACTCCCTGACTTTCCTCCTCCCCACCTTCAAAGCTCAAATGGTTCCCCAGGAAGCCCACACTAGTCCCTCTTTAATCTCTCTCTCCTCTGAACCCCGTCGGCGTTTTGCCATACCACATGCAAAACACTTGTCATTAGAGCTGGAAAAGACCTTCAGAATGACTTTGTCCAAACTTCCCATCTTACAGAGGGGCAAGTTGGAGCGCAGAGATGGTGCCAGCCAGTCACAGCTGTGCAGCTGCACCAGGGGACAATGGCAGAGTCCAGATCCCCCAGACCTCCGGACACAGGTCCCCCTTCTCACTCTGGGCATGGTGTATTATATTGTTTTTTTTTCATTCAAATAATTAAAACTTTTATGTATTTTTCATGTCCTATCTTACTGGCTAGGTGCTCTGGCACCATGGTGATAGCCACAAATCTTGTATTGTTCTTGATTTTAAAGGAAGTTCACCTTTAAAGGTTATTCAAAGGAAATTCACCTGTGACCACCAGACACAGGTCTCCCTCCTCACTCTGAGCATAGTATAGTATTTCCAGAACTAGTATATGCACATTCATAGCCCTGCATGTACTGCCTTGGGTGGTCTGCTGTGGTGCCTCCCCATGAAGGGTACGTCCCACAGGAATGGGCTCTTTCTTTCACAGGGGTTGGAGATGCCCAGAGCCGCACACCTGACATGGCCAGGCTGGGCAGGGGCCGTTCCATAATCATTCCCAAAGCATTTATTGGAGCTCTGAGGTCCCTGGTAAGCAAGAGACTCCAGCAGCAGTGGGTGGTGACTGCTTCAGGCAGAAGGCTGAGCCCGGTTTCCATGGAGACCGCCCAGGCTCTGGTTTCCAAGACAACACTTGCACGAGGTTACAGAGCTTCCTATTTATGTCAATTTAACATTTCCAACTGCTCTATTCTTCTGGCCAAACCCAGGCCTAATGCCAGGCCTCCCTTCTAGGCTGGGTGACAGTCCTCAAGGGTTGGAGGGAAGTGGCTGAGACTCTGCAGTTAGGTGAAAGTGAGACATCGCAGCCAGCAGGTCCTGCTCCAGCTCAAGGGCAGGTGAACAGGGACCAAGACATGCACGCGCTTATGAATTATAAAAAGGTGTGAACAGAGACAGAGGCCTAGAGCCAGCCCTGCTTTCTAGAGGGAACTGGCGTGACAAGGCTTTGAGTGCGCTTCCAGAGATAGTATATGCACATCCACAGTGCTATCACTTTAAAAACTCACAAATGGGATGGAGATTAATGTATACTCTTGCTCTTGCCACCTGCTTTACCCTAATTACAGATTCTGGAGAACTTTATGCAACAGCATAAATAGATCAACCTCATTCTTTGTAATGGCAACAAAATTTTGTACTTTAAAAAAAAATCAAGTCTCCACCTAAAGGACATTTGTCTTCAGTTTCTTGCTACTATAACGATAAATATCCTTGTTTAAATACTTTTGCACACTTGGTGGAATACATCCAGAGGTCCCATTCAGAGCAGTGACATTTGTGGGTAAAAAAGACATTGTACTTTAAAATTTGATATTGTCAAACGAATTTACTCCCATTACAGGCCAGTGGTACAGAAAAACATTTATCTAAAATTCCTAAACAAAATGTTAGCAAATGGAATCCAGTAGCATAGACATAAGGAAATACACGGCTGAACCAGTGAGTAATGTTTGCCACGTTAACCGATATGCAAACATACGAATAGGTGCAGAAAAAACATTTGATAAAATAACGTGACATCAATCCCGATTAACAATAAAACACTTGAAAACTAAGAATAGAGAACTTAAATCTCAAAGAGTATTCTTCTAATATTTACAGCTAAACTATATTCAAGGTGAATTTCCTTTAAAATCAAGAACAAAACAAGATTTGTGGCTATCACCATGGTGCCAGAGCTCCTACCCAGTAAGACGGTACAAGAAAAATACACAAAAGTTTTAATTACTTGAATGGAAGAAACAAAATTTACACATAATCAGCAGAATTGCTGATATAGAAAGCACAAGGCAGGGCATGGTAGCTCCCGCCTGTAATCCCAGCACTTTGGGAGGCTAAGGCGGGCGGATCACAAGGTCAAGGAGATCAAGACCATCCTGGCCAACATGATGAAACCCCGTCTCTACAAAAAATAGAAAAATTAGCCAGGCATGGTGGCGTGTGCCTGCAGTCCCAGCTACTCAGGGGGTCTGAGGCAGGAGAATTGCTTGAATTGCCCCACTGCATTCCAGCCTGGGTCACAAGAGCAAGACTCCATCACAAAAAAACAAAAACCCCATGTCTCCCACTAACTGGAAATGCCGCCATAATCACATAGTAAATTTCCATGTAATTAAGTCAGTGTCTGGCCCCTCCGTTGGGCTGCATCGGGCTCTGCCTTTGCTACACCAAATTCCTTAATGATTGTGGTGTATAACGCTTTGCATCTGGAGGGCTGCTCTTTACCCTTTACAGGATTTACCTGACTATTCCATGTTTACTTTCCTCAAAGAATTTATTGTGTCAAGTTAAAAAGTAAATTCAGTTGACATTCTAATTGTGATTGCATTGCATTTCAATGAGCAAATGTGAAAAGAACCTGATGTCTCTGCACGATTGCCTTTGGATCCAAGAACAAGGTGTGTCTCTACTAACTTGAGTATTTTATGGCCCTCACTGGGTACTGAGACTGAACAGCACCAAGTGGGTAGGTACCCAATCTGGTCCCCAGAGCAGGGTCCAGGTCCCACCTCTGGGGTCCATTTAGCTGTGGCTCTGGCCAGCTCTCCTACTGCTTCCAGAATTCTCTGGAGAATGTGACCCTGTGATTATCACACCAAACCTCAGTTCAGATCCTCCAGGAATGGTTACAAGTTGTCCAGATGTCGTGGAGAATATGACACCGCCCTTGTGCTTAAGGACATGCAATAATTATGTCATTTGCCATGTACACCATTACGGGGTAGTTTATAGGCACTTAAAGCAGCATGACCTTGGATGAGTTGGTAAGCTCTCCCAGCCCTTTCCGCTCCTCACCCAGAAAGTGTGAACTCTACCTGGCTCAGAGAGTGGTCATGGGAACCGGGGTGCTATGAAGGGGAATATCCCACACTCCTTGGCTGAGCCCAGGAAGCCCAGCCCTTTAGAGGCCAGATGTCAAGGTCTGCAGACTTCCCCCTGCCTGCTGCCCCTGAGGCCCAGCTCCTTACTCTGCCTAGAGCACCCCTCCTACTCCCACCTCCCCTCCAGCCATGCTCAAGTCAAGGTCAGAAGTAAAAGATTTTTATTGTTCTACAGACACTTCTGAAAAGAGATCTAATTGAGAAAATATACAAAGCATGTAAGAGTTTCATCCCCAGAGACTGACCGAAGGCTCACAGCCCTCCTCTCCAAGGCTCAGGGCTGAGAATGGTTAGCATATTGAACGATCAGTAAAAACATGCAAAAGTGAGAAGAAGGAAAAAGGTGCATTCCCCCAAGCTGAGGGGGATGGAGTTTCAGAACAGAGGAGGCAGGGTGGACAAGTACCAGGTGGCCCTCCTTTTCCCTCCGCATTAGCTTTCAAAATGGCTCCTGGGAGAGAGCTGGGAGAAAGCAGTGAGCTCCACCTACTCAGCAGAACCCACAGCTCACTGCCCATGGACAGGACTGAGCGGTGACCTTGTCTGCCCATTCCTCAACAGCCCACCCTGCTGCCTTGGCTGTGGGGACCCTGCTTGTGCTCCTGGGGGGCCAGGGCTGGGGGGCCCAGCTCCTTGCTTCTTTGGTTCCACTCAGAGAACAAATTGTGCTTGACGAACTCATCCCTACTCCCCAAACTCCAGTCCTGCTGGTGGGACTGAAGGCACTGAGGGGAGTCCTGGGGACGCCCCCAGGCAGCCACCTTCCCTTGTGCTCTGGTGGGTCCGTCCCTGGGCACACCGTCCCATCCTCAGCTCAAGCCCCAGGCCTAGCAATAGGGACCGTGAAGGAAGTGTACCCTCCAAGGAAAAAGCTTCTGGGGACTTTTCTAATTGTGCAGATACTTCTGAAGCCTGTGCCAGCCCTCCAACCCTATCCCCTTGCCAAGGGCTCCAATACCCAGTTCCCCCAACTCATCCTTCCCCTGGGGCTCCCAGTGTGACTCTGGGCCCAGGCCTTGGCAGGCCCGGCTTCAAGACAGTGGGACACAGAAACCGTTTTGTGGTGTCCCCTCTCCCTCCACCACACCCGGGGTGGGGGGCCAGCAGAGATGGGGGCCCCCGAGAGGTCACGGCTCTGGTACAGGGAGGTGGGAAGGGTTGGGGAGAAACAGAGAGACATGTCACCTCTATAGATACACGTCCAAAGTACAAGCTAAGCAGTGGGAAGGAGGAGAGAGCGGCTGGAAAAAAGAAGAGGAAGACGGCAGCGGGGCTGGGGCAGAGGGCCTCACACCACCCCACAGATGAGTGTCTCCACCACAAAGGTGTTCTCGAAGTGGCGGATGGCGTTGCAGTTCTTGGCCCCACGCTTGTTGATCCCTGGGAGGAAACAGAAAAACCCCAGTGAGGCCTGCATCCTGGCTGAGTCACAAAGACCACCAGCCTCAGCCTGAGCCCCAGGAGGCAGAAGTGACAGCAGGCCCAAATTCACCCAAAGAGCACAGTGACAAACAGGGAGAGTTCAAGAGCTGGAGCCAGCCTGCCCATGTCTGCCACCTCCCTGCTGTGTGACCTCAGGGGTGTTAGTTAACCTCTCTGTACCGGTTTCCTCACCTTTCATATGGGCAGCAAAAGTAATAATGAGGATGAGGATGACTTACACTCTTAAAAGGTCAAAAAGAGCAGACAGCACTGCAGGCACATAGAAGTGCTCAGGTAACACTAGCTGTCATTGCTGCTGCTATCTGAGCTCTCTGACAGCGGGGCCAGGCACTGCCTGAAGATAACTGTGGTCTGGAGCGCAGGACGGGGCCACAGTGGGTGAAGCCAGCCACTCACGCCTCCGCGTTGCCCGGCGCCGGAGCCGGTAGGTGTCTTTCCCGTTGCACAAGTGGTAGATGAAGGACCCCAGGGCCTCCTTGTCACTGACATGCTCCGTGACCACCATCTCCTCCTGGATGATGTACGTCTGTGGGAGGTAGGTCCCTCTCTGCAAAGCGAGGCGGCCGCGGCGGTGAGTCAGCCCCTCAGGATCTCCTCCAACCCCTCGTCTGCAATGCCAGCCCATTTCCCTCCTCCAGAGGCCCCTGGGCTGGCCCTTCTGATGTCCCCAGGGACTTCCTGCTTGTGCCTGGTGTCTGTGCCTGTGCTGCCAGGAGCTATGGCGTGTGCATGAGTCTGTGCTCAGGGTACGGCCTTGAACACTAAGGAAGCTGGTGTCGGGGCATTGACTCTGGAGATGTGGAAGTGGGTGATGGCAGAGGCGAGACCAATCTGGGTACGGGGCCCAGCTGCCAGCAACATCTCTTGCTCCCCCAACCCCTGACATGGGAACTTCCTGGACCCTAGACCTAGCCTCTGTGAGACAGGGGACAGAGATAGGATGCTGCAGAGACCCCCCCCAACTCCCTGCGCACCTTCACGTTCATGAGGAGCTCCCAGAAGTTGCGAGGGGGCAGCACGATGGTGGTGTTGAGCTCAATGACGTAGCACTTGTCCAGGGAGATGTCATGGTAGGCGGTCAGACCCTGGCAGGGAAGGGGCCTGGTCAGTCTCTGCAGGAGGTGACAGCTAACCCAGGCAGGGTGGCAAGAAACTTTGGCCAGCAGGGGCAGGGATCCCACCATGCCTTCCCGGGGCCCTGGGCCTTCAGGAGCAGGGCACCCCAGATTCCAGAACACTGGGTAGGCGCTCCCTTTTCCTGCTCTTCTCTTAGCCTGTTTGTGGAAGGTGCCACATGACAGAGGAGAATAGCAGCTGTTTGCTAAACGCCTCTGTTGTTACAAAGATGCTTCTTGTGTTTACAGAGCTGAGGTTTGGGGAACATGGGAACATCCCAGCTGTGCATTTCTGAAGCCTGTGAGGGCCAGCCATGCCTGGGCGCAGCCTGGACCTCAGCGAGAGATGCCCCATCCCAGGCCCCATGAGGGTTATATGAATATGTAACTTCATATGTTATATGAGACCCACTCTGCAGAGACCCTGCTGCAGATACCCACTGAGCTGTACACGCAGCGTACTCAATGGTGTATGTGCTACCCCTCAATACGATGTCAACAGAAAAGGGAACAGCAGCCCTGCCACGACAGCCTGCATGCAGCTGGCAGGAGGCCGAGGAGCACACACATCAGCCTCAGCTAGTTTACACTCAGCGAGAACCACTGCTGCCAACGGGAGAAAGCAGCGTCTTGAAGACCTGGTAAGCCTAACCATAGACATCTGCTGTACTCCGAGGGTTCTCCTTCACACCTGTCCCCTTGCCCTGGGTCCCTGGGACTGCCCCCCCCGCCCAGGTCCTGACCAGCCTCACCCGCTGGAAATCATGGATGATGTCTGCGGGGTCACCGCCGCCGAACTGCGGCACAGGCACATTGATGCGCTCGTAGTTCTCATCGAGGTAGATTTTCACATCCTCTTCCAGCTCCATCTGAGTCCGGGCCTGGGAGGACAGGGCATCCTCATACAGCACACCGCAGCGGAAGAAGTTATCTCGGGCCAGCTGAGTAAGGCAGACAGAGAGACAGACAGGCAGACAGAGAGGCTGGTCACACAGTGCACTCTGTGAGGCCCTCTCTGCCTACCCATCTACTGCATGCCCCAAAAGCCTGGGGAAGCAAGAAGAGTGGGGACTGTGTGACCCATTTCACAGATGGAGAAACTGAGACTGTGGGGCATCCGGTCAGAGTCTGGGGATGCCAGTGAGGAGATAAGCTGAGGCCCAGCTTCACAAATGGGAGGGGGGATGAGCTGTGTCTGCCAGGTCCTAGGGAGCAGACCTCTCTAGGCCGCAGTTTCCGCATCTGCAAAGCGTGATGAGCCCTAAGGTCTCTTGGCCTCCAAGTCCATGAGTCTTGACTGGGAAATGGGGTTGACGAGTAGGAAAAGGACCCAGCCACCTCCGTGCCCTCCACAGAGGTACAGACACTGGAGAAAAAGCCTGGGGTTGGCAGTGGCTCCTCAGGGACAAACCTAAGAGTTCGGCATTTAGGCCTGTACACGCCTGCCTTTCCTGTCACTTGCTCTCCACAGACCTGGAGGTGCCCAATATCTGGGGTGGGGAGGTGGACCTGGAGGCGACACCATTAGATTCTCATGCCCCTACCATGGTTACCTCCACGCCCGGCCTCGGACAAGTGCCATCACCCTTCCTGGACATCCCCAATCCTTGTCTGGGGGAAACCCTGACAGACACTGTGTCTGGTGGGCCAGTCCAGTCACTCCGTCAGTAAGGGGGACAGGGCGCCTGGTGCAATCCCATTAGATGAACAGCCGGGCGGGCCAGTTTGCCCACTCTTACTTCTGGGGGGGCTCCTGGAGAGGGTTGTAGATACATACTGGGGATTGCCTGGCCTGGTATCGGCAGGGTTCCACCGTCTTTTATTCAGTGCAAACTCTCCAGGGAGGATGACTCATCACAGCATGAGGGACTCCTATGGGCTGTGCATCGATGAGAGCCCAGGGAAGGCGAGGCTCTGGGGCTGCATCCCACTGTGGCTGGACACCTCGAATACCTTCCCAGGGCACAGACCCAGGGGCCGCTCAGAGGTGTCATACGCCCGCTCAGAGGTGTCACACGCCCGGGGAACTGAGGTGGGAGGGCAAGGGTGTGAGTTGGGGGGAACAGAGACCGGGAAGTGCTAGACCAGGTCCTAGGGTAGGGCCACAACAGGAAGAGGCTGGGGGAGGCTCCCACATAACCCTGGAACAAGGGGGAAGCAGGCCCTGGTGGGAGCAGGCGGGGGACAAAAAGGGAAGCTGGCAAGTGTGTGGGAGTCGAGCTTTCAAGGGGAAAGCCACATCAAATGCAAACTCTTCAGCAATTTCCATCGTGGAAAAACTGGAGGAAAACAAAGTTAAATGCTTAGGAATGGGAAGTCACTTGGGTCATAAATGACTGGCAAGTCTCAGCCTTTTGTCACCCTGAGATTGCCTGTGAGTTGTATTTAGGTTTATCCTTTTAATATACCTACCTTCATTTCCAGTCACACAGCGACACTCCCTCCCTTCCAGGGCTGGGTTGGCCCAGCTTTGTGCCCAGGCACCCTGGGGACAGGGGTGAGAGGTGGCAGCAAGGCCACCCTCCTGCTTCTGGAAGGAGGTGGTGGAGACTGTCTCTACCCACCCCAATCCCTTTTTTGTTTGGTGACCCAAATGTCCATGCCTGAGCAGAATTAGCTCAGCCTTAAAGCGTGACCTGCAGGTGCAGGGTCTGAGCTCTGAGGGCAACTGCAGTTCTAGTTCCAGTTTCTGCCAGATCTGGGTTCCGGTGAGAACTCCCCAGGGAGGCCCTGTGGGGCGGGCCTGGTGCTGTCACCTGGATTCATGCTTGGCTCCCCAGGACAAGGGGCTAAAGATAGTACTGGCCTGAGTCCAAGGAGGCCCCAAGGAGGAAGAGCACCCCAGTCTTGTGGGCTGGCTGGGCATTCACTGCCACTTGAGGCCATGTCCGGGTCTTCCTTGCCCCACCCCCGGCCAACACTTCCCTCCACACCTCTCTAGACGTGACCCTTCTCCAGGCCTTGCCGCCCTCTGCCCGGCCCCTCACCTGCGCAAGGAAGAAGTATCTGTAGATGTAGACAGAGGCGAACACCAGGCCCATGAGCAGAACGACCATGCCCATCGACAGGTAGCACACGCCGCCAACCGAGCCCCCCCTTTTGGAGCGACGTTGTGGGGGCTGCTCCTCCTGTGGATAGCAATGCTGGGTCAGCGGGGGCCGGGGCCCCTCCCTGGAAATCACCCCCTCCGTAAGTGAGGTTTCGACACTGGCTGGATCCAGAGGGAGTCTTGGGGGAAAGGGGAGGAATGAGTTGACAACTGGAAGGCAAGGGAGGCCCGCCAGGGTGGTCCAGACTCCTCCCGGCTAAAGAGAAACTGAGACACGCCTCGAAAGAGAAACCGAGACACACCTCAAAGCCACCGAAAGGGACCCACGGGGTTCAGCAGGTGCATTTTGAGTTAGCTAAGCCTAGTCCCCTTGCTTATATCAGCCATGACCATGGTATATTCTGTCAAATATAAGATGGGGGATGCACCAACCTGGCCTTGGTGACTTCATGGGACCAACAGTGAAACTCCGTCTCAAAAAAAAAAAAAAAAGAAGAAAGAAGTCTCTATAGAGGGCCAGGCACGGTGGCTCATGCCTGTAATCCCAGCACTTTGGGAGGCTGAGGTGGGCAGATCACGAGGTCAGGAGTTTGAGACCAACCTGGCCAACATGGTGAAACCCTGTCTCTACTAACGATACAAAAAATTAGCCAGGCATCGTGGCGGGTGCCTGTAATCTGGGCTACTTGGGAGGTTGAGGCAGGAGAATTGCTTGAACCTGGGAGGCAGAGGTTGCGGTGAGCTGAGATCGTGCCACTGCACTCACTCCAGCCTGGGCGACAGGGTGAAACTCTGTCTCAAAAAAAAAAAGAAATCTCTATAGGAATCGGGATGCACAAGGCAGGCTGGGAGCTGCTGGTCTGGGTGATGGGGAGCCCCGGAAGGCTTCTGAGCTGGGGAGTGACCATCTCCACTCTGAAACTGAGGTGCAGAGGGTAGACTAAAATGTGGGCAATGGGAGGTGGGCAGGCTGTGTAAGGCTGCTGGACTCCACCAAGGAGGCCGTGCAGGGAGCACCTGACTGATGGGGGCAGAGGCTCCAGAAGCCACGCAGGGTGTGAGCATGAGTGCTTGTCCCCAGCCAGGGGTCCAGCAGGCGGTTACAAGTGGGGTAACAGCTACAGGATGAAGCCTGGAAGCTTCCACGCGCCAGGGAGCTCCTGCTAGGGGAAGGGTGGCTGCCGGGAGGGTCAGGCTAGCAGGTGCCTGGTAAAACCTGCTCTGGAGCCAGAATTGGGCTCAAGATCACAGCTGCAGGGCTGCCAAGGAGCCAACCTAACCCAACTCCAGGCCACACGTGTGTGGGCTGGTGGACGTAGGTGTGTGAATGTAAAATCCAATAAAACTGCTTTATAGCTGGGCATGGTGGCTCACACCTATAATCCCAGCACTTTGAGAGGCCGAGGTGGGTGGTTCACAAGATCAGGAGTTTGAGACCAGCCTGGCCAACATGGTGAAATCCTGTCTCTACTAAAAATACAAAAAATTAGCCAGGCGTGGTGGCGCACACATGTAGTCCCAGCTACTCGGGAGGCTGAGGCAGGAGAATCTCTTGAACCTGGGAAGCAGAGGTTGCAGTGAGCCGAGACTGTGCCACTGCACTCCAGCCTGGGCAACAGAGTGAGACTCCGTCTCAAAAAAAGAAAACCACCAAAACGGCTTTACCCAGAGCACTGGCCGAGAGCCAGGCAGGTGAGCGTGGTCCATTTTCTGTCTGTTCCCCCGACCTCCTATGCCTTGCCCCAGGCCCTTGCTCACCCTTGGACATATTGCAAAAGCCCCAGGCCAGTCTCTGCTTCCAGTGTCCACCATTTAACCCTCCTCCATGGTGTCCAGTCACAGCCAAGTGTGAAGTTTGATGTCAGTCCCTGTGGACGGCCACGGTATGGGGGAGGGCAGGGGATCCAGTCCAAGAGCCTGAAGCTTCTCATTCCGGCTCTGCCACTACCTGCCTGCTTAGCACTCTCTGGACCTCGGCTTCCCCAAGTTCAAAATGAGCAGGTCAGACTAAGTGACTTCTCGGGCCCCTTATGGCCAGACGTTCTGGGATTGGAACACATTTCCTTTCTCCCTTCCCCCGGAGGGCATGGTTCTGGCCTAAGTGATCCAGGACAGACCCTATCTCTCAGCACAGCACAGGGGTCCTGCCCGAGGCCTGCTGAGCTCCTCGGGTTTCACCCCCAACCCTTTTACAGCACAGGAGAGTGTGGAGCCTGTGCCTTGGGAAGCTGAGGGTCTGACCCGCCCTGCTTAGGAAAAGGACAGAAAATGTCTGGAGGACACTCCCCTCTCAGGGGACATTTATGAGCAGGTCAGCCGGCCTCCAGCGTCCTCATCATGGGGTGCCGTTACCTGTCCAGCACCCTGACACTCAAGTCTGCCCCCAGGGAGCCTGCCTGGTGGGTGTGGGAGATGCATCTGCTGCCCTCACCACCTCCCATGAGCAGGCCTGGGGCCTCTCCCCACCGTGCCCTCAGCAGCCAGGGGCACCAACCAAGGTCACCAGCAAGTGATGTGCATGGCCACAGTGCACAGGGCCCTCAGGGACAGCGGCTGACTGGAGGGGTGGGGACTAAATGGCTTTGATTTTCCAATGGACTCCTGGGAGCAGACAGAGACCAGTGACACATTCTGCTGGCATCTCCCAGGGATCGAGCCACCCAGGAGCTCTTGCAAACCAGGTGGCCAGTGACACCCTCCTGCTCTTCTGGTGCTGCTGAGGTCTTAAGGAAAGGTGGCTGACTCCAGGACAGGACAGGCTGCCCACAGCAGCTGCACATCCCGCCGAGGGTACGACATACCCCAAGGCTCAGATTGTATTTAGGGGTCAAATGGGGCTGCGGCCCTAGCGGGGCACTGCAACCTCCCCCTTCTTGGGTCTCCCAGGCAAAATGTGAACAGACGCTGTGTGACAGGGGTTTTGCTGGGATTAAACAAGACAAAGAACCTAAAAGCCCTTTGTGAAGGATAAAGTGCTAGATAAAAATAGCAGATCTTTATCAGCCGAGCCTTTCCTTTTTAGGGCTGCCTCTGTGGACAGCTGTTGAGGCTGCATTGTGGCCAGACTTCTGCTCCTGTGTTCTGGAAAACCAGAGACACTAGCTTGTGAGATCGCTAACAACCAGAAAGACAGAAAAGGTGAAAAAAAAAAAGTCAAAGCACTACCTGGGAGAGCCTGAGGGGCTGCTCCAGAATTAAATTCACCGACAAGGGGCAGCCTGCTAGCTTTATGGCAAAGGGCGGCCTCGCCTTTCCATTGGGTTGGTCCAGCATCTCGCTGTCCTGCGGGAGGGGCTGGGCTTGCAGGCCCCACAGAGGAAGGTTGGAGAAGACAGAGCAGGGAGAAGGTGGGGCTTCTGTGGCCCCCGCTGAAGAGCAGTGTGGCAGGTGTGGCTGAGAAGGGCGTGGCTCCTGCCAAGACCCCTCACTGTGAAGGCTGGGGACCCCCACCTTACCTAGGCTGATGGTGGGCACTTCCCTCTCTTGGCCCTGCTGATGCCCCCCAGCACGCACTCGGGCTCAGCCACCCTGCCACCCTCCCAGCTCCCCTCCAGCTGGCAAAGCCAAACCCTCGGAGACACCATTAAGAGCAGAAGCGCAGAAGGCGGAATTAGAGGCTACCAGGAAGTAGACAGGAAGGCACCGATGTCCCCGTGTGGAGGCAAAGGCATTTCTTCCTCCATAAAGCCCCACACAGAGGGAGAACCCCCAAATCCCGCCCCAGTGCTGCCTCTGCCTATGGTGCCCAACCCATCAACACCAAGGCGGCAGGGCGCGATGGCTCACTCCTGTGATCCCAGCATCTTGGGAGGTCAAGGTGGGTGGATCACCTGAGATCAGGAGGTTGAGACGAGCCTGGCCAACATGGCGAAACTCCATCTCTACTACAAATACAAAAATTAGTCAGGCGCCTGTAGTCCCAGCTACTCTGGAGGCTAAGGCAGGAGAATTGCTTGAACCCAGAAGGCAGAGGTTGCAGTGAGCTGAGATCTTGCCACTGCACTCCAGCCTGGTGACAGAGTGAGATTCCATCTCAAAACACACACACAAGAAACCAAAACCACCCAGGCTCAAATTCCAAAGCCCTGGAACCCTCACTGTCCCTTTGACCCTTGAAGCAGCCTGTGATCTTGGGCTATTTACACCTGTCTGGGGACAGCTGGGCATCAGGGAGCCTGTGCTCAACCCACAGCTCTGGCCCCTCGGGATCCCAGGTGCCCAGCTCACTTGAAAGATGGCTGACTGGCCCGCCTTCCTGAGACGCCAGCTGCTCCACCAATCATGCTGGAGACCCAGAAAAATGTTGCTGCCAGCAGGGAGAAGTTACTGACAGAGGTCTGGGGGGCTCCCATGTAGAAAGTAGAAAAATATTCCATACTGTTTCCAAGGCAACAGAGCTCTCTGAGCAAAGGGCACGTGAGCTGGACATCCAGGGACTGGAGAGAGGCCTGGGCCTCTCCCTGCCAACTTAAACTGAGACCCACAGTGGCACTCATTATATGATTACCAAAGCCAGGGCCAAAATGGTCAGGGGAAACCGGCCAACTATGGCATTAGCTCAGCAGACCCCCACAGCTGGAGGGGAGTGCTCCCCAGCTCTGGTCCTCCAGTAACAACGTCCAAATTAACTTAATTCACTGCAAGCGATCAAACTATGATTGCAGATTGCAGCCTGCTTGGAGGGGTTCAGCAGCCAGAATTGAACTGCTGAGGCCAAGGCTGAGAACGGGGAAGACGGGGTTGGAGGTCTCATCTCACCCCCCCACATCTCTCCTGGTCCTCAGCAGCTTTCTTCTCCAGGCTCCAGACCACAGAGGCCGGGGAATCCATCGAGTGTGTGTGTCTTGTATTTGTTCAAGACAGAGCCTAGCTGGGGGACAGGGGAGTGGGCAAACACCCACTGAGCACACAGAGCCCAATGGTCCACAAGCACAGATGCCATCTGCCAACAGGATCAGGGTTTCCCATCACCCTCCTGTCTTCCCTTCCAGACTGCGGGCCCCGTGGGCAGCATCTGTGCAGCTGTGCTCTCGGCTTGGCTGGGCCAGGAGAATTCCCTCTTCTCTAGCACCCCTGAAAGTCAAGGCATCTGCAGAGAACAAGAGCTCACTGCTAGAGGAGCCCTGTTGAGAGAGGGAACTTGGAGAGCGTGGGGTGGGGGACAGAGCGGGCAGCCAGGTTGTGCTTCCGTGATTTCACCATAAACATTTTTTTCCTGCGCTAAGAGAAACTCATCCTCACTGGCAATCTGCTGACGGTCTTGAAACATCCAAGGACTGCTGAGAGGAGCGAACAGAAATGAGGGAATGGAGAGGGAAGCGGGCAGCAGAGAAGCCACCGTGGGGCCTGCCCGGACGCCGAATCCCAGGAATGGACAACAGTCCTAAAAGTCCCCACGCTGCCACAGGGAAGGACCTGGATGGAGCAGGGCCGCCGCTTCACAAGGTCCTTTTAGGGCAGGCCCTCACAGTCAGCGGACACTGGGGTAGGACTCCAGGCTGGCCAGATTCACCCCCCTGGCTGGCAGCGGACCCTCCCCCAACGGCTCCAGGAGACCCAGCTCCTCCTGCCAAGGGCCTGAGGCCAGGACACACAAGGAAAGTGAAATCTGATCCCCAGGTATGCAGGCTGGGGAGGGGGTGACACAGGGCCTTTAATCAAAGGCAAATGCCAAGGAGAAAATTGCAGAGGTAAGAAGATGATTGCATTTGACTTGTTTCTCTCCCCTGCAGCCCCCACATGCTCACATCTGTGTGTTCGTGTGTGTGCGCACGCGTGCGCACGCTGGCACAGGCAGGATGTGGGGAGAAGGGGTGGGCTAAGAGGGGCAGGGCCAGCCAGTGGGCCCCCAAAGGGGAAGAGGGATCCAGTTGGCGCTGTGAAGGGGGCACCTTGCTGCCCCAGGGGGTGATTCTGGTCCAGCCTACTTCCCAAGCTGGCAGTGCCCCAGCGGCCCATCAGCGCAGGCTCCTCATTATCTCAGGGTTAAAACACCATGTGGGGAGGCTGGGCAGCTGGAAGCCCAGCTGGCCCCCACCCCCATCCCTCCCTGGCCCACCGAGGCACTTCCTTCCAGCCTCAGGTCCGCAGACAAAATCCTCCTTGTGTTGCAGTTTTTTCTCAGAAGCAGGGGCAGTGCCCACTGAGAGGGTGCTCCAGCCACTTCAACCAGCCCCACCCCGACCTCACTCCTGGCCTGGACACAGGGCAAGAACTGCCCCAACGGACAATAATCTGCTCACTCACTGAGTGCTCCTCCCAGGAATCACTTTTTAAATCTTGTTTTGGGCCGGGCTTGGTGGCTCATGCCTGTAATTCCAGTGCTTTGGGAGGCTAAGGTGGGAGGATCACCTGAGGTCAGGAGTTTGAGACCAGCCTGAACAACATGGTGAAACCCTGTCTCTACCAAAAATACAAAAGCTAGCTGGGCATGGTGGCAGGTGCTTGTAATCCCAGCTACTTGGGAGGCTGAGGCAGGAGAATCACTTAAACCTGGGAAGTGAAGGTTGCAGTGAGCCAAGATCGTGCCACTGTACTCCAGCCTGGGTGACAGAGACTCTGCTTCAAAAAAAATAATAATAATAATAATAATAGATAAAATATAAAATAAATCTTGTTTTAGAGTCCAAATTGAGACACCAAGGAGGGTTCTGGGGTCACCGCCAGCCTGAAGAAACATTTTAATAAGCTTTCCTGGGCATCCCCAATGGTATGGGAAAAAAATCTACACGCCCGGCCCTGAGAAAGCAGCTCCTGGCTGCCATCTCTTCCAGTGCACTGAGCTGCAGCTGGGAAATGGGCCTCCTGCCTGCTCACTGCTGGGAGCAGGAGAGGAGGGCTGGCCCCTTGCCAGAGACTGGCTGAGAAGGAAATGTGCCCGTTGGCCAAGTGGGGCCACAGGAGGCCGGCAGAAGCGAACTGTCTCCAAGGCTCCAAATCTAGCAGGTGATGGGCAACCTGTAACACCTGAAGTCCCCGTGCAGCACACCAGGGCCTGGGGAAGCTGTGAAAGTTTACTACCAGGCAGTTCTGTCCTAACGGTGCCAGGATTTTAATTTTCCCCAGATCGCACACTCCTAAGCTCTCCCTTGCCAATGAGAGAGGGAGGGGACCCTGCCCCACTAACAAAAGTTTTGGGGGAGGAGGTACTCAGCCGGCTCAAGGCCATTACAAACAGCATGCAGAAGAAGATGTTGATATTTCCATTTCATGCTGGGTGAGGGGGAAGAAAGGACGCTCAATTTCAGAGCCTGAGGAGCAGCCAGAAGCTGGGATGTCAGTTATGCCCTGAGATGCAGGGCTCTGTCACCCTGCCCAACCCCATGGCATCAGCAGGCTGTGGCCGGAGAATGTGCCGCTCCTGCAAGATTTGGGGGACTTTCTGATAGAGTTGGAATGACACTCTCCCACTGTCTGACCTGATCCTCCCACCTTCTCAAATACCTCCAGGAAGAGGTGGCTAGGAAAAGACATGGGCAAGAATGCTGCCTCCTGCCCCATCGCTGCCCCTCCCCAGGCTGAATGGAGGGCAGCTTCCCTTCCCTAGAAAAGGGGTCTTCAGGAGCCCCTTGCAGACTTTTAAAGCTGCAGAACCGCCTTCTGCAAACATGGAGCTCGCCCCACCCACCTAAGCTTCAGATGAAGCGGGCAGCTGCTCTGATGGGGTGCACAACAGCCCCCCAACCTGGCCCAGGAGGTTGTTGAACCTTTGTGGCTCTGGGCCACTGCTTGCTGCAGGAAGCCCCATACAAGGGCAGGTGAGTTCTCAGTCTCTTGGCATTCCTCACTCACAGTCTCTGCCCAGGCTGACACCCAACTCTGATGGGCCTCTCCAGCGTCCCCTCTTCCACGGTCGAGGTCATCCTCTGCAGGCCCCTTAATGCCCCAGGCAAGGCTGCATCTGAGCCACAAAACCTGGGGAGGGGGCTAGGCTTTCCGGAAGACTTCAGAAGCCTGCAGAGGGAGGGGGGAAGCAGCGGACAAAGACTTTCTCAGTCCTGCGGTGGGAGGCGGGGAAGACTAGGGCTTGGTGCACCACAAGACCTCTGAGGGCGGCGCCCACGTAGACACCTTTGCGGGGCACAATAAAACCTGGCTAGGCCAGCTGTCCCTCCCTCCCTGTCCCTGCCCGCCACGCGTTCTACCCCCTGCGAGCCCTCCCCAGACACAAGGCAAGCAGCTCAGTCTTCCACGGCGGAAATGCCTTCTCTCCCCCAGGCCAGAGGGAAGGCGGAGGAAGCCAGGGGGCGGGGCGCACAGAGCCCGGGGACCCAGGATGCCAGGGCACTAGGGCAGTTGGGAGCCTTCCCCGCGGGGATGGGGTATAGCCCAGCGAGAGGCTGGGAGAAAGGAGAGAGGAGCAGGGAGGCCCAGACGGCAGGGCGTGGGGTGGGATGAGGGCGCCCGGCCTCGGAACCCCGACGTCCAGAGGCGCAGCCCCGTCGGTTCTGGCTGATTTCCATTTCATCACTTTCTGGTCTGTCAATTCCGGTACAGGCCAGCAGCACATCCTCTATTCCCCGCAGCCCCCAAGGTGGGAGGAAACCAACAGCTCCTCCCTCTTCCTTGGTACCAGACCACCCCCCCCCAATTCCCCAGCCAATCAGGTCCCATCGCCCTACTTTGGAAAAACTACCTCTAACCCTCCTCCCATCCCCCACCTGGGGAACGGACTCGCGGCTTTCCCGGTTGATTGGAACCAGACGCGTACCCACCACCAACATTCCTCGAACCTCTTCGGACCAGCCCCCTCCCCCTATTTGGGGGCCAGGCGGCGAGGGGCCCCCCACTTTTGGAAGAGACCTTGAGCACTTCCCCACCTGAAGACCAGCGCCAGGCCCCCTCCCACTCTTCGGACTTCGGCTGTTGGCTGCTGCTTTAGGACGGGACTCAAGCCCCCTCCTCAGTCTGGGATAAGCGACCATCCAGAGTTCCCGACACTGTTCCGCGCGCGACTGCCTGATGCGCCTCGGGCAGTCCCCAGGGCCGACGGGGCGCGCCTGGTTCTCGCGCCTGGGTCCCCCGCCCCCGCCTGAGCCCTGGCCCCTCACCCTTGCCGGCGTCAGCAGGATCTCGGTGGCCGGGGCCGGCGCCGCGACCGACGCCGACGCCTTGTCGGCCTTGTTGCCCTTGATGCCGGCCACGGCGGGCTGGAAGCTGATCTTCACCATGGCTGCGCCAGCCCGCACGTCCGTTCCGCAGCCTCCGCCGGTGCAGCCTCGGTCGGTGCCTCCGCCGCTCCGAGCTCTGCAGGCACCGGAAGTTTGGATCCAGCTCGCGTCCCTCTCTCTAGCCCCACCCCCAGCCCTCCCCGCCCCGTCCCCGCGGGAGGGCCCCGGCTCCCGCCGCGCCTGCGCCCCCTTCCTGCCCGCCTAGCCCGCAGTGACCCCTGCCGGGCGCGCCGCTCCGCACCTGGGCTGGTCGGAGTTCCCTCCGCCGTCCGCTCGCACAGTCACTCACTCGCTCACTCATTCATTCAGCCAGTCGCTCGGATCCGTTCTCCCATTCCCCATCCGCGGCCAGCATCCCCGCAGCGCAAGGCTTTGTTAACCCAGTGTTTGCCAGGCAAATGCAGCTTCCAGGCAACACCCCCCACCCGTCTCTCCTGCCCCTCTTCAGATCCTCCCCTTTAGCAACGAAGGAGCCTCCGCTGTAGCTGCCCCCACGCCCCCCTCCTCCGACCTGGCCTTGGCGGGGGAGGAGGCTTCGAGGCAGACGCATAACTGCTGCCTCGGTCCTGCCTTCTGAATCCATCCACGCCTCCTTCATTCTCCATCTTGCTTCTGCCTTCATTCTTCCTTCCTGCAAGACCTTCCTGGGGGGCCCTGGGGTGCAGGCTGGAGCCGCCAGCAGTGGAGAAGGGCAGGCCGCTCTTGCTCCCTGGCTCCTTTGTGTTGGCCCCAGCCTCAGTTACTACAGGGTGACCGGCTGAACTGCCGTTGTCTCACCCATCCAGGAGAACCCTGGTGAGAGTGGTGGCAAGACCCCTAGGGCAGATGTCAGAGGCTCGGGTTCCACTCAAGACTCCGCTCCTGCAAAGTATCACGGGTACTGGGGAGGCAGGGGCTTCTGTTGCTGGGACGGTTGCTCTTGGCACTAACACCCCTAATCTTTCCTCTTTGACCCTGGTCCGGGGACAGCGCCCAGCCACACACACAGGTGCTGAATGGTCCGCCTTGGTTCTGCTGTTGGGCTGACAGTGAGGGCAGGGGTGTCCGACAGCTTGAGGGGAACAGTCCAGAGTCCTCCATTGATCTCTCTTCTTACCTGTCAGGTCTTTTGAAGCTGCCTTGGGCCCTTAGCGCCCACGTCCCAGACCTGAACATCTTGGCTCAGATCTTGGATGAACCTAGCGGCGGTGAGGACGGACAGGTGCAGAAAGAAGAAAGTCTAATTGATGCTAAGGGCACCAGCCTGGGGAACTGGGGGAGGGAATGTGGAGGTGGAAGAAGACAGATGGTTTAGAGGAGCCAAGGAGGAATCTGTTTGGCCCGAAGCCGAGAGAAGGTGGTGTGGACTAGTGTTCACCACCTGCTCAGATCCGACGTGAGTCCTGGGCTTTGGAGAAGGCAAGCTCCACGCCTCGCTTAGGCCACACCCCCGACATGCATTCCTTCCCTCAGTATTTTTGCAAGCACCCCTGCGTGCCAAGCATTGTGTTAAGCTCTGCGGCAGAAAACAGAAACGCCCAAGATGCACCCCAGCAAGCAAGGATGTGATCACGTGCAACCTTCTTTGTGTTGGGTTCTTTCACATGCGTTGGGTTGTTTCATTTTTGTCACAGCCTCTGTGACCTACGTTAGCCTCATGTTAATAGTGACAGAAAGTAGCATGACTAAACCCAGGGTCGCAGAGCTGGTGTGGCACACATCTCTGGTCAGCAAGACAGGGTCACCTGGGGGAAGCATCCGCATGCCTGAGATTGGCAGGAGAGTGCCCCACTTCCCTTGGAAAACCTTCCCTATTGGCCGGCCTAAGTCCCTTTCCTGCGCACCTTCAGCACTGTGTACGTCCCCTCATGCCTCTCCTTACCCTTGACCGTGGGCTTAGTGCCGGCCAAGTGCCAGGAGTAAAACCTAGGGCACTGATTCCTACATTTTTTGGTTTCAGGACCCCAAGAGCTTTTGTTGAGGTGGCTTACGTCTATCAACATTTACCATATTAGAAATTAAAACTCAGAGAATTTTAAGACACAGAATACACATATTCCATTGACCATCAAAGCGATGTCATCACACGGGTAGCCTCTGGAAAACTCCATTCTATGCCAATGAGAGAATGAGAGTGAAAAGGGCAAATAACGTCTTATCTCGTTGAGGAAAATAGTTTTGACCTTGCAGACCCCCTGATTGGGTCTTGGGGACCACCATGGTCTTCAGATCACCTGTTCAGAGATGCTGCTGTGGCAGATGCTCAAGAATCCATATTCCATGGGTTCTAAGAAACACATTTCTTCCCATTTCAACATCTTGGAATCAAGATCTCTCTTACAATGATGATTGGCAGTGATTCAGTAACGTCTCTTACAAGTGATAGCATCTTAGATTTTCTGGAGTACAGTACAGCCAGTCAATAACCCAAGGGGCACCAGGAGGCAGTGGGAGGTCCATGTCGCATACGGAGTTTTGTGGACTCAGGGAAGGACAGCAGGGCCAGTGGGGTCGTGGTGTAGCCCAGGTTCCATGTAAGGCAGGAGATTTGGGTGGGAACTGGAAAGACCCAGGGTGTGGACAAGTGGCAGGGAAATGAGAGTCCGCACTGGAGTGAGAGTGACTCTGGGCCGGGGCCCTTGGCTCATTCCGACAGCCATTCTCACCAGCACCGGAACCCTCTTTCTTCTTCCTTCATCTTACCCAACTGGCAGAGTTTCTCCTGCCCCCTCTCTGGTTCCAGGTTCTGCTGAGGGACTGCTAAGTTTTGTTGGTGAAAGTGATGCCATCATGCCTCTTGGGACCACCATGCTACCTCCCCTTGGGGGCACCGTGGCCGCTGTGTAAAGCAGGCCCCTTGGAGCTATGGGGTGGGACAGGTGTGGCTTCTTTGGCCAGCCGTTCTCCAAGCAAGGACCCCGGCAAGCAGTCCTGGTGGCACCTGGGAACTTGTTAGAAAGGCAAACCCTTTTATTTCTATTCAGAAACGCAGGGCACGTTCTGTGTCTACCAAGCCCTTAGTGATTCTGACACACACTCAGGTTTGGGAACTGCTGCTCTGTCACTCCGTGCACACGCTCGAGGGCTACCTCCTGCCCTCTCCAGACTGCCGCGCACCTCTCAGCGGCTGAATTCGAGTTTCTTCACCGAGAATCTGGAAGGCATTCTGGGAAAATGCCCTCCTGCCTGCCAGCACATCCGCCCCCACCCGCAGCTGCCCTTCTGCCCACATGCTCCTCCCACCCCTCCCCTGGAAGAGGCGTATGTCTTCTCTCCTCTCAGATCCAGCCAGCCTCTAGGTGAGGATTCCACCCCTCCCTCATCTCAGATACCTGAGACGTCCTTCAGCCCCCATCCCCTAACCTGCCAGCTTTTCCTATCAGCTCTGAAACACGCTCATATTAGCCTTAAAACAAAAACAAAGTCCTTGTTTGACCCCACGTTCCCCTCCACTTGATTCACTATTTTTCTCATTTTCTTCTTAGCCAAACTTCCTGAAAATTCTGTTTCCATTTCCTTATCACTCCCCACACTCATTGAGCTCAATCTGGCTTCTTTTCCTCCACCTCCACCTGGCTGAAATCTCGAAGCTGTTTCTCAGTTCTCATCTTCCTTGGGTTGACTTTAAGCCTCTTGGCTGAGCCCTCTCCACTAACCCTTCCTTCCCCCAACAACTCAGGTATGATTGGCTCAGTGGGAAGGGCTGTTAGCATCAGTCCTACAACAGTTCACTTTGAAAATAAAATCTCAGGCTGTGCATGGTGGCTCCTGCCTGTAATCCTAGCACTTTGGGAGGCCGAGGTGGGCGGATTGTTTGAGCCCAGGAGTTTGAGACCATCCTGGGCAACATAGCGAGATCCCCATCTTTAGTTAAAATGAAATCAGAGATGTTAGCATGTATTTGTCTCTTTCTCCAAATCGAGAAGTTGAATGTTGTTTGCAAAGATACCCAGTTTATTACAATTTAAAGCACTGGTTATTTAAGACTTATGGTTGTAGTGAATCCATAGAGGGTCAGTAGATTAGCTTTCTGGAAATGTAACGTGCTCAGACAAGGGTGTGCCTATTGCCCTCAGAATTCTTCCCAAGGAGAAGTGTGCTTCATTAATCATGTGCTCTGAATAAAGGAGTGGATGAGTTTGAGACCCTGTTCTTCTGACAAGGGCAGCAGCTATCTTCAGCTCCATCTCCCCTACCCCCACCTGCCCCCTCCGAGGCCCCTCTTTTCCACTGAGGAGCTAGCTGAGAGCTAACTGTTGAAGGTACTTTTTAAACAAAAAATTTAGGTAAAATTAAAAACTATTTTGGCAAAGATATAGATCCATGTATCCAACGTACCAATCAAGATATAGAACATTTCCATAATCCCCGAAAGCTTCTTCCTATTATTTTCCAGTGAATCTCTGCCACCACTGGCAACCACTGTTCTGCTTCCATCACTGTAGATTAAGTTTCATCTGTTCTTGAATCTCTTTCTTTTTATTTGAGTCAGAGTGTTGCTCTGTTGCTGGAATGCAGTGGCACCATCTTGGCTCACCACTGCAACCTCCGCCTCCCAGGTTCAAGCGATTCTCCTGCCTCAGTCTCCCAAGTAGCTGGGACTACAGGTGTGCGCCACCATGCCCAGCTAATTTTTTTAAACCGTGTTTCTAGTACAGACAGGGTTTCATATGTTGGTCAGGCTGGTCTCAAACTCCTGACCTCAGATGAGCCTCCTAAAGTGCTGGTATTACAAGTGTGAGCCACCACACCTGATCATGTTCTTGAATTTCATATACCGTACAATATGTGTTCTTCTGTGTCTAGTTTCACTCAATATAATGTTTATGAAGTTCATCCACAATAGCTCGTTCTTTTTGCTTGCTGAGTCCTATTCCATTTGGTTAATATACTGCAACTTGTCTGCCATTCTCCTGGCATGGACATTTGGGTTGCCTTCAGTCTTTCACTAAAAAATTGCTACAGACATTCCTTTACATGTATTTTTGTTTTAATTTCTCTTCGGTAAATAACACCAGTGAGGATGAGGTAGACATGACCCACCCTGCAAGATAGACGTATTTTATCACTGACATTGTTTCGAAGTGTGAGTGCATTGCAATAATGTAAAGCAGATCCATTTTTAGTTTGTTTTATTCTCATTTTTAAATTCTGTGTAGAAGTTGCGCTCCCTTATTGCCTAATCTGGGCAGACCTGGGTTGACATTGCTACCGAGCTGGCAGTGAGGCCTTTCCCTTCTCAAGGGCTCTGCGGCATCTCTGGCCACATTTGTTTTAATGTCTGAACCTCTAAAGCTCTTCTTTTTAATTTGTTTTACTTTTTATTTTAAGAAGCCAGCCCCGCTCTGTCATAGATGGGAATTGTACTCTCGGGCAACTTAAAGT